ATACCATTGACTTTTCACCAAAAATTTGATCTGAATTTGTAAGCACAAAAATTTTCGACGCTAAATTAATTGTTAAATGGGTATAAATAATTTATATATTATACATAAACATATTCACATGAAATTTCTATCTTAAAGTTTTCATTTTTATTTATTTATATTCCATGCTTCACAGAATATAAATCTTTATCCCAGTCATTTAAATTAATACTATTAAATTAAAATATTAACCAAATGGAATCGCATTGTTTATTTCATATTATGAAAGAAAACAAATAGTTTTGAACTTCATTTACATCACCTTTACACAAGATCTTAGTCGCTCGCGTGGCGCAGTGGTAAGAGCGTCTGCTCTAGAGTCGCGAAGTAAGAAGTTAATCCTTACGTCGCGGGTTCGAATCCCACTGTGGGACGTGGAGACCGGTCCTTCCGTTGAGACCGTATAAACCGTGGTCCCGTGTCGCAATAGGTGCTTGCATGAAAAAGATCCCTCACTGCTCAATGGCCGTAAGTGCCGAGTATAGGACAAAATTTGGAGCTCTCCACCGGCAAGTGGTAGTGTCTCCATATGAGTGAAAAAATTCTCGAGAGGGACGTTAAACAACATACAAACAAACACAAGATCTTAACCATCATAAGGATTTTTGTTCGAAATTATTTATTAGAAAGGAGAAAGTTATTTTAATTGCATTCAGGGTTATCGAAGTAATACCGTATTTTCAAACCCTTTTCTTTAAACGCATTCAGATTTTAACTTTTTTATTTGAGCAGTAATATATTGAAAACATTACAGCATTACCAGTATTACAACTGTAAGATTAATCTTCATGAATATTTACATACATACATCATTAGGCTAAAGAAAATTTGTTTGTTTCCGGTTATACCCAACTGACCTCCTACACATTTTTTTTTTCAGAAAATTACGAGTATCCGTAACTGTCTCTTTGTTTTACGAATACGTAATGGCGGCGCACTTGTTTGCTGCAAGTAGTCGGCGTTCGCTGTTATTTTATGCCGTTAATATAATCATAAAATCATCATCTTTTTGCAATTATTTTGAAAGGAAAAAATTAATAAATTGTCTCCTGTTAAGCCGTTTTCATAAGATCAACCCTGAAAATATCAGCAGGAATTAACACGGTATCGTACCAAATTACATCTGATAAATGACCACCGATGTTTTTAAAATTCATTATTACATTAAATTTCTTGCCATTCAAGACACCTTAATGCTATACTGATCTTAAAAAACAATTACAGATATCACGACATTGTTAGTGAGCTTACTGCATGTTTATACATGCATCACGGACGTAAATTCAGACTAATTATACTATAATATCAGTAAACGAACAAAAAATGTCATACATTTTTTTTTTAATTCTACCAATAACATATGGCTAGTGAGGAGAATATATAAGTCATTTGTTTTATTTAATGTCACTAATTTAAACATTTAAGGTCACTAATTTTAACTTTTAAGAAAACAATTTTTTACAAAAAATGTTTGTCTGTCAATTTCCAAACTTTTTTTAAAAAGAATGTTGAACCATATGGTTTGCTGATTTTTCTTTAGATATATTTGAATTAGAATTTAATTTTTTAAAAAATTATATTCATATTGGTTTAATAATTTATGTAATTCATAGTTAAAGAAATGCACATATTTTTAGAGATATTCTTAAAGTTTCAAACAAACAGTACTTTTATCGCCGACTAGATACACCAGATACACCATGTACAATTGTCAGGTGACCTAATTCAGGCATAACGCACATTAATTAATTCTTTAAACTCCAATTTACTTATCTATTTATTTGCTGAAAGACAAAACAGAGAATATAACCACTCACATAACATCGACGAAAACGATATGAAATATAGGCAACCTGTCGAAAAGCCCGCGCTTATTGAAAATAGTTCGCTTACAATATGTAATTCAGTAGCGTATGTGCACAAATTGTTATATCACGATTACCCTAATAAAGTAAATATCTAATTCCTCTTTCAATTTAATTCTCAAACAAAAATATTGATCAATTAACAAATCCGTAGATTGAGATGTAAAAAATATTTGTTTAAGTATCGTCTTTCAATGTGACTATTTTGTTTATCAGAAGCGTCTGCTTTGACGCTGTTAGGTTTTTTGTTTACTTTTCTGAACATGTGCTATTTATAGTAAGGCAGTCGATCACGATGCCTACAGCCAGGACTTTGCTTTCAGCAAAGCCCGGCTAAAAATGGTCTTAAAACACATGCAAGCTCTCAAGGGTGCTGGGAAATAAAAATCGTTTATGTTAATATATAATTAAAAGAAAACAACATATAAAAATGTTCATTAGTCTTTATCTAAGTACAACACATTATAATTTTTCAGAAAAAGTTGGTTAGTTTCCTGTTCAGAATGAAGAGCCATCTATGTACGAGCCATAAAGACCTGAATACATCATGATTTTCTCAGGCAATAACCATTATGGCCGAACCTGGAACTAGAACTAGACTCATATTCATGTCATAAAGATTAGATAATTATAATTTTCGTGCAGCTGGTTTCCTAGAGGACCAAAAATAAAGAATATTTCTTTTCTGATTAATACAGGCATGTAGTATCATTATCAGAAAAAAGGAGAATTGTCCAAACCCGAAAATCCTATTCCGTTGGAGAAGGAGTAGGGGTGGGCTACAACTTACTTTCACATTTCGAATTTCATTAATTCATTACCAAATTACCGTACTTTTAATATGCTACAATAAAATGATGGGTACAATCTAATTAAAATTAGACTATCCATTTTGCTTTTAGTAAATCTGTTCGTCGCTCGAGATAAATACCTGGTTTATATTACGAAGAGTGAGTTGAAAGTTCCAATTTAGATTTGATTGCGAAGAGTCAATCAACCTTTCAATGTACATTGTCCATTGTAAAAGTTTATGTTTGAAAAATGGTGACACCCCTAGCTCCTCCGATACTATATATGTGCCTGTATGAATCAGCAAAACCACTCAAAGTGCACTGTTACCATGCATAACCATTGTGAGCTTAATGTTTAGAAAGGTATAAATGTATTTTCATTAAAAATATCACCAAGTCCTATCCTGGGGTCTTAACGTTGGATTCTGGACCGTAAATTTTAATTATTGGTAGATGGGTTATTGTTAATCATAATCATACAAACTCTACCTGTTAAATATCAATGGTCAGAAAAAAAGATTTTTCAAATATGTACTAATTTAGGATTGGACAATACACTCGAACATATTAAAGCCCGGCTTTCAGTACTTTCAGTACTTTGATTTAATGGAAGCATCCTCATGTAGTGTAGATTTAAGTTTTTTTTAGTCATGAGGGTGGGGCCACAATGGGGGGGGGGGGGGCATAAGTTTTACATAGAAAAATATTTTAATGAGAAATACAAAAATGATTTTTTTTCTTGTATAATTTTTTTTTCAAAAGCTTAATATTATAGATAGGAGTTTACTAATATAAAGTGTATATAAAAACAAAAAAGACAAGAAATATGTCTTAGTATTTTTTTTAAATTTTCAACAAAAAATACATGTAAAAAACTGGGAAAACTTCATTTCTTGAACACAGACGGATAACATTTCATGAAAGTCTCCAATTAGAATGTATCTTAATATGTTAGCAAAGTGAAATAAACAAATTAAAAAAATATATATAAATGGAAAATAAAAGATGCATTAAAATTTTTTTGAATTAAAAGATCCGAATGGAAGAGTTATCCTTCTTTATTTTCCAAGGATTGAAAAAACCTGGGTGCTATTTCAGAAACGATGAGCATTTTTTCTCCAAGACTAAAAAAATCGAACTTTGTTGCAGTGGTAGTATTCAACTTTGAACTGTTTTGAAAACAATTCATAGACAATCGCTTTCCAAGACGTGTCTCGTTCAGAGCAATTGCATTCATGTAAAAGTTAACAGCTTGCTCAGTTACTTCTTGAATTAAATAACAAAGAAGACCAGCTCTGGTTAACGTGATAATTGATTGGTCATAATTCAGCACAATGTGAAGTAATCACACTTATCCATGTCTCACCGCACACAAGGTGCTGTACAGCTACTCAAACAGTTGAAATACAACTTTTGCTTAAAAGTGTTCAAAAACAACAATCTTTAAACTACCTTTTACAGGGGTTTGCTTTTCAAATGTCCATAGTACATTTAAAAGTAAATTCATATACTTGCGATTTTTTTTGGTTTATTTTTACTTAAAATGTCGACTTGCGAGAACTTGCATTGAAATAGCTTCAGAGTATTCTTTTAAACAGTGTATCTACAAATTTTGACCCGATAATAAGCACTCATGCAAATCAAAACAATACTTCAAACGGAAATACGTCATAACGTGGAGGTATCCCATACTACCATAAAGATTTTCCCAATATATTTCAGTGTAAAACTTTCTTGGTTAGGGTGTGACCAAAAAAAATAGGATGAAAGTTTTACATTGAAAAATAAAAGAAAAAATCTGTTCAAGAACATATTCATAAGTGTTGCAGATGTATTTAAAGATTTGTTCTATATATTTCAATGTAAAACTCTTCAGAAGATTTTTCAATGACCCCACCATATTATTGTCTTTTCTAAATTATCTCCCCTTGTAAGGGGGCTTAGACCTTCATTTTAACAATTAAAACTGCCCTTTACCCAAGGATGCTTTGTAACTACTTTGGTTAAAATTGGCCCAGTGGTTTTTAAGAAGAAGTTGAAAATGTGAAAAGCTTACAGATGGACGGAAGATGAGTGATCAGAAAAGCTCACTTGAGCTTTCAGCTCAGGTGAGCTAATAATCCTGTCCCACTCATAAAATAAATTCTGTAGCGATTTACAAAACACTGAATATCCTCTATATATCAAATGGTTTTCACAATTCCTGGCATTTACTTTAACCCCTGTCCCCCTCTTTCCCCCAACATAAAATAATGTTATACACAACTCTTTTATTTTGGATTTACAATTTAATTTGTACACTATAGGAAAAACGTAATATATATGGCACATTAATACAATAACTTTTACACTGCAAATACTATACAAACAATAATACAAATTTCATAAACTTTCAAAACAATTTGTGCTTTAATAATATCTTAATAAATGTTTCTACACAAAGCAATTTATATCGAGTATCCTTTATGACTACGCATATGCAACTTGAGTTAAAACAATAAATTTCAAGCTCTTGATAGACCATTAACTGCCTCTATACATGTAACATTTATAATATAAAAAGAATGATGCAACGTAAAAAGATTTCTACAAGTCAAATATGACTTTTGTAAACTTGGATGTGAGAAACAAATTGACAAAAACTAGCATTTGGTGTATGCTGTAAATACACATGTAATTGGGACATTTTACATCATCTCAAGCCCACTACAACTCCTACCATGGAGCAAGAGCAGATAACTGGTGGCTATCAACAATGGACATTTCCTATCATTAGGACAGTTTTAAGTTTATTTACTAAGTGGAGCTAGAATTTCTAATATAGAATCCTCTGAGACATTGAGACTCCATACTGCATTGGTCTAGGTTCTGAATTATTTTTTAACACAATTTCAAGCTCTTGAAAGTCAGTTAGGCGACCAACATCTTTATCCTTGCGTACAATTGTATTAGGTAGTTTTCTGATTTTGAACACTAGTCCTTTTTGCACACCAAGCTCTTGACAACAGACAGCTAGAAGTCTATCAAATGACAGACAGTGTTTGTCCAACTCCACCTCAATGAAGTCTCTTTCCTCACTGTTGGCGACGCGCACCTTGATCACAAGCTCTACAGAATAAAATTTATTTTTACCAATGAACTGCTTTTTTCACCAAATGAGTTCTATTTGGATTGATCAAGGTTGTAAAACTTAAATCCTAAATTTAATTGCTGGCTTATGTGAACCATCTACATGTACATGTATAAGGTATATTAAATTATGTCAAAAATCCTGGTAGAGTTAATGTAATGCAAAGCAGTTGCCATGTATTACTGTCAGACATTTACCTTTGATATGTTTAAAAATGAATGTTATTGTAATTTACGAGTTTAAGTAAAAATTCTGCTCTAACAACGAACAAAAAAGTTATAGGCTAGAATACATGTATATAGCAATAACTTGTCTTAAATATTGACCATTTCAAACGATCACAAAAAGAACAGTCCCTATGAGACATCTAGGCAATTCTAAAAAAATTTCTAATGTGTAAATACTGCATGTAGTTATGTAGTTGAAAATCCCCCCCCCCCCCCCCAAGAAAATCATTGTCAAGCAAGGTGCAACCGAGGTTGACAATGTGCTTTCGATTAGTGAAATATCACCCATAGTCAAGTATCGTTGACTGTTGCTATATTCTATTGCACATGGGGTAGATTTCATTATTCATAGGGTAACAGTGCTTTTTTGTTCAACAAATCAACACCACAGTTACTGTATCTGACATATCCTACTCATGCAGAAGGAAATTTTTCAGAAACCCATTATGTTGGGAAGACATCTATGTAAACTGTTTATTCTACTACCTGTAGTATTTATAAACTGCAGGGCATATTTTTGATATATTTATGGTAACACATACTAATTAATACTAACCATTGTTGGAAGCACAGTTTTGTTCTTGAAGTCTTCCAGGATTTTCTCTGCTGGAGTCTGTTGATTTTTGGACAACTGGTTGTGTATAGGGAAAGGGAGGGTTTGCTAAGTAATTTGGGGTTATTGGAAGATCTTTCTGTACAACTTCAGCATTTGTGCCTATACAATTAGAAGATCCATTTATTTATGCATAAGTACAGCATATAGGAATTAACAAATTCAACAGTACTGTTTACTGTTTGAAATGTTATGTATTAATTAGAATTACTGCTATGATCTGACCTCCCAGCATGTTCTTGATGTCTGAGAAAGTGCTCAGCTGGCTAGCTATCTCCCCATTGTTGGTTTTTATATACTTATCAGCTCCATGTAAAAGTAAATAGGAAACTATACCACTGTGATTTCTCTTGGCAGCCCAATGTAGAGATGTCCTATAAAAAAAAAATAAATAAACAAACATAAACATAATAAACATTCTCACCATGGTTACTAAATCAAAAAAAAAAAAAACTGTGAAATGCTCTAAAAATGCTCCTACACTTATGTCAACAAAACTTGTTACATATGTAGACACACTAAGATACATCATTCTTTTTTTCCCTCTTTTTTAAGTTTAACTTTTTGTACTACTACCAGTATGGTAAATGAGACAATAAGCCCATCAGCCTTGATCACTCTTCTGATAAATCGTACAACCTATCACTTCTATTTGAAGCCGCTTAGTATTCTATATATTTAGATAAAGCCTCTAAATTCCAAAAGGAAGTCATTGTGAACTACATTTTGGTTAACACACTCTGAGAACCCAAGATGCATCAACTGACAAAGTTTGATGATTCTACACCAATTAATATCTTATAGATTAGGATATAGTTATGAAATTCTAAAAGTCGGTCATGGTGACCTACTTTTAGGTAAACATACTCTGAGACCCAAGATGCATCAATTGACAATTAAAGTTTGATGATTCTAAGCCTTTTATTATTTGAAATATTTAGATATTGTCTTGAAATTCCAAAAGTAGGAAACCATGACCTGCTAGTTGACACACTCTAAGGACCCAAGATGCATCAACTGACAAAGTTTGTTGATTCCAAGCCAGTAAGTATCTGAAATATTAAATAAAGCCATGAAATTCAACAAGTTAATTGGTAATGGTGACCTACTTTTTGATTGAAATACTCCAAGGACTCAGAATGCATCAACTGACAATGATTGATTGATTGTTGTTTAACATCCCTCTCAAGAATTTTTCACTCATATGGAGACGCCACCACTTGCCGGTGGAGGGCTACAAATTTTGACCTATACTTGGCACTTAGGGCCATTAAGCAGTGAGGGATCTTTTCCTTGCCAGCACCTACTGCGACAAGGGACCTCAGTTTATATGTGAGAACTTGTGAAAATGGATTAACAATACATAAAGGTCAGTTTTCTTGTGACAATTGTGTGTATATGTGTTAAAATTGTTAATATAACAAGTCTATTACATACATTCAGACGTATTTTAGACGAAATGTCAGTTGGAGTGTAGGCCGTCACCGGTTCGAAATTTACACATTTTCCAGAATCAAAATATGAAGGCTTGCGAAGAGAAGTGGATGTAGGCGAAAGCCTGTCCACTTCTCTAAAGAGAATAAGGTATGTCCCAATTTTAACCGCAACAAGCGATCAAAGTTGAGGCTGAATTTCCAGACATGAATTACGAAGGACTTTCCCGAGATTCGGTGAAGGCTTCAGTCCAAATATCTAGCCCAGCCGAATCTCCGCCGAGTGTCCGACATACCCAATTACAAGGCATTGCTTTACACTTAGTTAATCTAATTGTGTCTTGGGACAAGCCTTCACAGCAGTTAAAATACGTCCCACATACTTGCAATGTAGCGAATCAGAGCGGATCTGCTCCCATATGAAACTTTATTTGGATCAGAAGTTTAAAGAATTTCATTAGACTCTGAGCAAATAAAGAATGTGTTGTCAGCCAGTATCAAGCAACCATCAGGTTGGGCACACCCCACCAAATGGTCATTTATCCCCCGATTGGTGGACAATCTCCCATATCGGAGACAAATTTTACTGACCAAATGGTGGACTTTTTTATTCTATTCCAAATTTTATTAAAATAAAGCAAAAGCGCATTTACTTACGCATTGGGGAATTTTAGTGAACATATTCCTCACACAATTAACATAGTTTGATCGATTTTCCATGTGCAATTTCTCCATAACTTTCTAAAAACGATACCCATAGTTGTCTGTAACAGCCAAACTTCTTGATCAATCGGTCAAAAAAATTTTGATTGTGTCTAGAAGGATCAAAATTGTATTTTATCCAGTGGTTTAACTCTTAATAAGTTAAGTACAGGTCTCTGTAAGAATCAGGCAAAAGGTGAATCATGAGGGTTCTCAGAATTTGATGATTTTCAACACATAGATTTCTCTTGTGCTATGAACCATGTATGCAAAGTGAAAAAAGTTTTGGGTCATGGTTACTATGGAAACATGACAAAAGAAATTTCCTTAGCAACCAGTCAATTTTCCATGTGTATGGACAAAAAAATCACTAATCTTTAGGGCTTGAACTTTTTTGTGAATATTTAATAATTTCTTCTCATTTATTTTTATCGTAAAGATAAACATTCAAAGTGTTTTCACAATGCATTACATAGAAATAAGATTTTGAGATATATCTGTACTAGACATGGGTAGATATGCATGTTTTGTGTTTTTTGCTGATTCAGCATTTTTGTTGATTTTGGAATTTCCAGACATGAATTACGAAGGACTTTCCCGAGATTCGGTGAAGGCTTCAGTCCAAATATCTAGCCCAGCCGAATCTCCGCCGAGTGTCCGACATACCCAATTACAAGGCATTGCTTTACACTTAGTTAATCTAATTGTGTCTTGGGACAAGCCTTCACAGCAGTTAAAATACGTCCCACATACTTGCAATGTAGCGAATCAGAGCGGATCTGCTCCCATATGAAACTTTATTTGGATCAGAAGTTTAAAGAATTTCATTAGACTCTGAGCAAATAAAGAATGTGTTGTCAGCCAGTATCAAGCAACCACCAGGTTGGGCACACCCCACCAAATGGTCATTTATCCCCCGATTGGTGGACAATCTCCCATATCGGAGACAAATTTTACTGACCAAATGGTGGACTTTTTTATTCTATTCCAAATTTTATTAAAATAAAGCAAAAGCGCATTTACTTACGCATTGGGGAATTTTAGTGAACTGTACTTAACTTATTAAGAGTTAAACCACTGGATAAAATACAATTTTGATCCTTCTAGACACAATCATTAATAATTTCTTCTCATTTATTTTTATCGTAAAGATAAACATTCAAAGTGTTTTCACAATGCATTACATAGAAATAAGATTTTGAGATATATCTGTACTAGACATGGGTAGATATGCATGTTTTGTGTTTTTTGCTGATTCAGCATTTTTGTTGATTTTGGTACTTTTCAAAGCCTTATCAGACTTCTGGCGTAATACAGGAGTTGCAAGTATTTCGCATAATAGGAGAGGAATGTTTCTTTTGGACTTTAAATTCAAAATGGTGTGTTTTTTGAAAATTCCAATCCGTTGCCTAGCAACAAAAATGGATGTTTTGATAAATAAAAATGGAAAATCGTACAATGTGAACATTATTAATCTAATAATTTGTTATCTGAGAGTATAAAAACACAGTTTAAAGTAAGGAAATATATCTGAGACACCTTTGCAAACCAAGAAATATTGTAAAGATACTTATCTCCACGGCAACCACGAATTCTCCATAGCAACAAAGCAAATAAAGTCACTTTCGGCAAACATTTATGAACAATTATAAAATATTAATCCTCAGTTTGGTATTGCGATTATAATCAAATTTGATTTTGTAATAGATGTCTTAGCAAAGTACATTTTAATAATTTAGCCCATTTTTATACTTTTAACCCAGGGTAACAACATTTGAGCACATAAGAACCAAAAAATGTTATGGAGAGTTACTAGCAATTTTCTGTAACAACTTGAACTTTTTTTGGCACGCATGGTCACCGATTATCATGAAACTTTGCTCGTTATAATAGTTACAATTATAATAGTTTGACAACAGAATTTTAAATCAATCAAAGTTTGGTTGTCATGGGAACAGACAGGTTGATTTCAACAAAATTTAGATTTTCGGCTACTTTGAATCCTTATTGACCCTTCACAAGCACTCAAAAAACCAAATTGGCCATTTATATATAAAAATAAAAACAATAAACCTTGTTGCCACTTATTATGTAAAGAAAGTATTTGGAATAGATCTCTATATAGGTAGTAACCATGGTTACACTCGGCATACATTTTATATACAGAAAAACGCTCAGTATTATCTTATTATGGGAGTTACATGACTTAATTTATCGCCAGTGATAAAGAAACAATAAAAATAGTTTACCTTATGAAAAGAACTTTTAGCAATATTATTCTAACAATGAAAATATCAGTTGCCGAGATGACACAGCATAGTACCACGATTTGTGCGTAAGTTATAACCCAGCAAACAAAGATTGGGGTATAAAGGAATCACCTGTCTGTCTGTCTCTGTGTCCTTTTGTCCATGCAATCATGTCCGGGTTATAACTTTGTAGTGCTTTGTAATCTAGAAACAATACATTACAAGTTCATTCTTGATAAAAAAAAAATTGTTAATAGTCTGAGGGTGTATCTTGACTTTTACCCAAGGTCATTTTAGCTAGTTCAAGGTCACTAGCAGTTAAAAGTATAAAATTCGTGTCTGATCTATAACTTTTTCTGTATTGCTGCTTGAAATTGGTTTAGCGGTTCTAGAGAAGAAGTTGAAAATGTTCAAAAGTTAATGCACGACGGATGACGCACGACGACAGACAAAAACGGATAGCAATAGGTCACCTGAGTGACTCAGGTGATCTAAAAAGTTGTTAAGCCATGTAATTAACCATAAATTTAGGGGGTATAAGCAACAAGAGGCCCATGGGCCACATCGTTCACCTGAGCACTGTGGCTGGGGAAAAAAGCAAAAATCAGTTCAGAATTGAAAAGCTTTAATGCATAAGTGGTCCTGACCTACCCTCTAAATTGGAATGGGGGGGGGGTATGATTTGAACAAAATTGAATCTACACTAACTAAAGATGCTTACATATTTCTTTGTCTGTGACTTTTTTCCTACAAGTTTGAACTTTCGTTATGGTCCCACCCTACCCCCGCGTTATGGTCCCACCCTACCCCCGGGGGTCATGGTTTGAACAAATCTGAATCTTCACTATCTATTATGACCAATCATAGCTTTGCTGTTCTTGAGAAGATTTAAAAAAAATTTCCTATGTATTCATATACATAACTTTAATTGCCAATTGTAGTCCCACCCTATCCCCAGGGGGTCATCATTTTCTTCAAACATGAATCTAC